ATTAAAATAAATATTTTTCTCATGGTTACAATCGTAGTCTAAAAGGATTGTTTACTTTCTTAGAGTGACATTATTAAGTGTCAAAAATGGTTTAAAAGTAATGCAATGCCTAGATATAAAACTTGAGCAATGGTGTTTGTTTGGCCTCAAATTACTCCCTTGAAAAATAACACACATTTCTTTTAGCTCTGCTCTAAGGCAGCTGGAGAACAGGAGGGATGGACCCGCTGCCTCTCCTCTGTGGTCCTTTTGGGCCAAGAGTGCCACATGGTGACTGACCCTTCTTCAGGTGCTAGGGCACACAGCCAGCCTCGTTCACTCAGCACTGGGCACTGAGGCAGAAATCTGCATTGTTACATGCTTGAATAATGGAAGAAACCATGTATGTATGTCCCTATATTGTGTCCCCACCTACACTGTATACTCACAGAAACAGAGGCTTGTATTCTCTTGTTTATTCATTCAACAGGCACTTCTTAGGTACCCCCTTAGGGCCTGAGCATCATGAGCACATAGTAAAAGTTCCATTTGTTCAGTCATGATGTAAAATAATACAAGTAAGTAAACAGTGGAATAATGCAAGCACTTACTTTTTAAGAAGCTACAGACATTAATTAAAAAGTTGCTAAAGGAAGAACAGCCCATTCGTGCTGCCACTAGCCCTAAAACACCCTCACTTTGAACCCTCACTGTATTAGTTCCTTTGTTGTTTCAGCATAAGTTGCATGTGTGAGGTGCAAACAATTTCTCTTCCCTGACACTTTCTCTCTGAGAATCAGCTGGTCAGTGTCTTTTGCTCCTAGGGAGAGGCTAATGGGAAGGAGATATGTGATGGAAGTTGACTGGGCTCTTTCATGCCCCATCTTTTCTTCTTTTAGAACCTCAGCTTCCCTTCTCTCTCCCAGCTTCCAGGATATTCCTTGGTGATAAGAAGAAAGGAGAGGAGGAAAAAATGAGATCTGGCAAAATTGTAAGCAAAGAGACAGAGCCACAAATCTGTCTTAATATCCATATAAATGCTGTTATGCTGATTGATTAAACATTTTAAAAATATTTACATAGTATATATGATACTTGTGACCATAAAGCTGATTCATATCCAGGTGACTTTTATTGAAGAGCTCTGTTTAGGACTACTGAGTGCCAAGCACCCTCATTAACATAGTCCTCACTGGAAATAGAGGAAACCAAAAAGAAATGGAAGGTCTCCTGCTTGCTTCCCCTTAATACAGTATTTCTTAAATAGTATAACTTAAAGAGATAAGAGAATTTTTAAATTTAAATTTAAGTTTCTGGGGCCAGCCCCATGGCCAAGTGGTTAAGTTTGCGTGTTCTGCTTTGGCAGCCAGTTGTTCGCAGGCTCGGATCCTGGGCGTGGACCTAGCACTGTTCATCAAGCCATGCTGAGGCGGCGACCCACACAGAAGAACTAGAATGACCCACAACTAGGATATACAGCTATATACTGGGGCTTTGGGGAGGAAAAAAAGGAAGATTGGCAACAAATGTTAGCTCAGGGCCAATCTTCCTCACCAAAAAAGCATACTTTAAAAAATAAATACATGTAAGTTTCCAGCGCTAATGTGAGTTAGCAGAAGGACACCATAGAACCGACTTAGTTGATGGTGCGGAGCAGTTTAGTGGCTGAGCGGTGGGGGTGAGGGAGTGTCCTCTGTTCGAGCTCCGTCCTCTAGTGGCTCTGTCAGCAGTACGAACCATGAGCCGGCTGTACTCAGGCCACTGGGGGAAACAAAACACAGACCAAAAACAGTTTTGCTTTAATTTCAACCTAATATCTTCTTGTTGACCAAGAATCAAATCATTCTTTTAGTAAGCTCTTTACTTTCATCAAAGGGACAGTTAAGATTAGGAGGACACATACATTCACACACAAACTATTAAAAGATTTTACTTGTCACAAATAACTCAATGTAGTGTTTGAATTTTTTCCCAAATACATTTATTACTCTTTTTTTCCTCCTTGTCCATGCAATTATCTAATGGAATGATATTTTTGACTTCTTTTTGTACTAATCTGCGTGTATATAAACTTAATACATATACATAATAAAAATTGAAACTACACACCTATAAGAACAGTTAAAATAAAAAATAATCATAACCCCAAATGCTGACAAGGATGTGGAAAATTGAGTCTCTCATACATTGCTGGTGGGAATGTAAAATGATATGGCCACTCTAGAAAAAAGTTTGACAGTTTCTTAAAGAAACTAAACATACGCTTATCATTACAACTCAGCAATTTCACTCTTGGACATTTATCCCAAAGAAGTGAAAACTTAGATTTACACAGAAACTTATGCACAGCTGAATTCACAACAGCCCCAAACTGGAAACTACTTAAATCTCCTTCAATGGGTGAATGGTTAAACAAACTGTGTTATGTCCATACCATGGAATACTACTCAGCAATAAAAAGGAGCAAGCTATTGAGATATATATATATATAACTTGGATGCATCTCAAGGACACTATGCTGAGTGAATGAAGCCAACCTTAAAAGGTGACATCCTGATGATTCCATTTATGTAACTGTCTTAGTTTGGGCTGCTATAACAAAAATACCATAGGTGGGGCCAGCCCGGTGGTGCAGCGGTTAAGTGCGCACGTTCCACTTCTCGGGAGCCTGGAGTTTGCCAGTTCAGATCCTGGGTGTGGACATGGTGCCACTTGGCACACCATGCTGCGTCCCACATATAAAGTAGAGGAAGATGGGCATGGATGTTAGCTCAACGCCAGTCTTCCTCAGCAAAAAGAGAAGGATTGGCAGCAGTTAGCTCAGGGCTAATCTTCCTCAAAAAAAAAAAAAAAAAAAACCATAGGCTACATGGCTTAAACAACAAATATTTACTTTTCAGGGTTCTGGAGGCTGAGATCCAAGATCAAGACACCAGCAGATCATGGTGTCTGATCCACGTCCTGGCTTGTAGACAGCTGCCTCTGGCTGTATCCTCACATGGTCAATAGAGAGTCCTCTGTGTCTCTTCCTCTTGTTATAAGGGTATTAATCCCATTCTGAGGGATTAATGCCCCACTCATGACCTAATGTAACCCTACTCACCTCCTAAGGCCCCACTTCCAAACACCATCGTATTGGGGGATAGGCTTCACCGTGTGAATTCTGAAGGACACAAATATTCAGTCCATGGCAGTAACACTCTCTAAATTACAACTACATGGATGAAAAACAGATTAGTGGTTGTCAGGGGTCAGGGATGGCAGGGTGGGGAAAGGTGGGTGTCACTATCAGAGATAACATGAGAGAGATCTTTGTGGTGATAGAATAGTTCTATACCTTGATGGGGTGATGGTTACATGAATGTACCCATGTGATAAAATGACTTAGACCTTGGGCAGCCCTTTGGCATAGGGGTTGAGTTCGTGCGCTCAGCTTTGGTGGCCTGGGGTTTGCAGGTTTGGATCCCAGGCACAGACCTACACACTGCTCATCAGGCGATGCTGTGGCAGCACCCCGCACAGAGAGTGGAGGAAGACTGGCACGGATGTTAGCTCAGTGACAATCTTCCTCAAGCAAAAAGAGGAAGATTGGGAACAGATGTTAGCTCAGGGCCAATCTTGTAAAATAAAATGATATAGACCTATACACATGCATTGTACCAATGTCAGATTCCTGGTTTTGATATCGTATTACAGTTACAGAAGATGTAATCATTAGGGAAACTGTGTGAAGTGTACAAAGGACTTCTCTGTACAATTTTTGTAACTTCTTGCAACTCAATAATTATTTCAAAATAAAAAGTTAAAAATTCGATTGTAGATCTTTCACATTATTTTTAATTCCTTGGCAGAAAAGAGACTTCATTGTGTCATATGTTCAGGAGCCATTAGCTTTTTCTTAGTTCTACTTTTCTGTCTGGTAGAAATAAACCAGTTATGAAGTAAATCAGATAGTTAGATTTTTAGATCTCCTGCTGACTCAGAGTGCTTAGCAGACTGGTAGCTAATTTGCTTTCGTTGTTTCCATGGTTTGCTAGATCAAGTAGATGGATTATTCACACCACTTCATTCATCAACATACAATTTACTGTGCATCTGCAAAGTGGTGGCCTCTTCATGACTCTCAGGCACCAGCACGAGCAAGACAAAGTTCCTACCCCCGTGGAGGTTACATTTTTGGCATGTGAAGAGAGGCGAAAAGGTAGAGATGTGTCTGCAGCGCTCCCTGATGCAGTGTGAACTGAAGGGAAAGGTAGAGACGTGTCTGCAGCGCTCCTTGATGCAGTATGAACTGAAGGGAAAGGGGAGTCTCCCAGTGCTGGCTTCTGTGCTTACAGGGCTGGCTTCTGTGCTTACAGGGCTTCTGCCCTGTAAGTTGGTGTCTCCAAGTAGCATTACCTCAGTGTGGCTGAGTATTTTGGATCTGATCATGTTTCTGGCAGGATAATGAACATGATTTGAAATCACTAGAACTAGTATGGCTTAAGAAATGTAAAGAATATGGTAAGGAGAATAAGGTAAGGAAAATAAAGAAGTGGAGCCTGACAGCTTTTTTCTTTAGCATGGACAAATATATCAGTTCCTGGAAGCACCAGTAAGGGATGGATTTTACAAAGAGGTAAAAAACAAACAAACAACAACATTGGAGGCAGATGTCTGAATTTGAACTTGGGACATTCCACTTACTAGCTGTGTGACTTTGAGCAGCTCATTTAAGCTCTTTGAGAAGGTAATATAAGTCTTGTTTATTTTATTTATTTATTTTTAAAAAGTATTTTTTATTTTATTTTTTTTAAAGATTGGCACCTGTGCTAACATCTGTTGCTAACCTTCTTTTTTTTTCCCCCCTTCTCCCCAAAGCCACCCAGTACATAGTTGTATATTCTAGTTGTAGGTCCTTCTGGCTCCGCTATGTGGGACGCTGCCTCACCACGGCTTGATGAGCCGCACTAGGTCCACACCCAGGATCCGAACCAGCAAAAACCTGGGCTGCTGGAGCAGAGCGTGCAAAACTTAACCACTCGCGCACGGGGCTGTCCCCTTGTTTATTTTTAATGCAGGATAAATTAACTCTATTTGAAAGCTAATAGTAAACTGGCAAGTTGGGAGGATTATTGTTGAGAGACATAGTGGTGGTGGGCCTCCTTCCTCCTTTTTCACCATCAAGTCATTGTCTAGAACCTTCTCCCCGGGGAGGGGAAGTCCCTATGTTCATGGACTGAGTCCCTGTATACCAAGGTAGAGAAGTTTAAAGATAATTAAAATAAAGTTTGATTTTGAGTTTTGGAAAGAGGAGTGTCTTAGGTAAAGTAGAAGTGTGAATAGAGAGAACATAGTCAGGTTAAGAGGGAAGAAGTGTTCTGGGCCGGAGGCTTGTCTGGCTCCGCACTGCCTGCCATGCCACCTAAACTAATTCAGTGCATTGTGCTTCTGGTCTCAGAGTCCGAGTGTGTGTGTGTGTGTGTGTGTGTGTGTTTCCATGCCTGCTGCCTCCTCTCTCTATTCCCCGTGGTCATTTAAAAAAATATTAAACATGAGGGTGTTTCTTTCCTATTAAAAAACGGTGAGTCTCTTGTTCCATAAGCCACAGGCCTCAGACGTGGGCAGGATCCACAGCCTTTGAGTTTCTGACCTGTGCTCTGAGTTCTGTAAGGTTCTGAGTGAGAAGACTAGATCTCATTTTCTGTTTCTAGTACCATGTTGTATCCACTACCTGATCTTTTCTAGTTAACCTCTTTTGCTCTCCAGAAATTATCTTTAACCATTTTCTCACATAGTAAACAATATAGGCTCTAGAATCAGACTACGTAGGTTTAAATCTTGTCTTCACCTACTTACTAGTTATTCCTCATCTGTAAATAATACCTACCTTATCGGGATATGATAGTAAGCACTTACTAACACTTGGGCATCATTATTCATAGTTAGGTCTCAAGAGCCTCAGCCACATTTTATCTATTTGCTATTGATTTCATGGCTCTCCTATGTCTGGTGTGATCTGCTCTGTTGGTGAGTGTAACTTTTACCTGTTCTCAAGATTCCCTTTCTCAAGTGCCCCTTGGTACCTTGGTGTTTGTGGGGTGGTACATTGGTGCTGAAAGGGCTGAAACTTGAGAAGACTCTGAACCCTTGTATTGCCAGTGAAACTGCATCATCATCACCTTCACAGCTGATACTGTTACATGACGGCAGTAGTGTGGAGTGAGTACAGCAGAATGCCAGTGGCATCCTTAGTCATGATAAAGACCAAGGAACATTGACTCCCCTAAGACAGAATTCGGCGGGGTCAAATAGAAAGAGTTCTAACTAAACTCCAGTTCTTTCCTATTTCCTCATGTGTCCATTCATTGAACAGTGTCGAACTCTTACTATGTGCCAAGTACTAGGATAAATAAAAGTCAAACGTAGCTCTTAATTTTGGGAACTCTCAGACTCCCAGGGGAAGGCAGCCTAGGGCATAGCTGGCAAGCATGCCCTGGGCATTATGCCCCTCAGAGTGTGCCGGCACCGTTGACCACACCAGACAGCTTGTTAGAAACACAGAATTGCTTGGGGGTGTTCTTCGAGCTCTCCAGGAGATTCCTCTGCCCACCACAGTTGAGAGCACGATGTTAGTGTTGATGAAGCCTGGGGACAGATACCCAGGGGACATGGCTATTTCTTTCTCTGGGAGCTTACCCAGCAGTCCTCTGTCCCTGGAGTAGCATTTGTAGACAGAGTCTGCCGGGAAGGCCGCTCCAGCAAGGACTGCCACCATGCTGTGGAATGTTTTCTAGAGCTTCCAGAATACCTCAGTAAATCAGGACTGTCACGCCCATTGACTGCTTTGCTGCTGGAGCTCTTAACGTGAAGGGCCAGGAGCGACCCTGGCAAGCCTGGGGCTGACGTGTGTGGGAACAGTGGGAGTGACCCTGGCGGGGAAGCAGGGGCGCCTGGATATTGTTTTTCCACCTCCTGTCCCGCTACTTTCTGCCCTGGGCTCCGAGCTCTCAAGCACCCACAGATGGCGTTCCCGGGCAGGGCGCGCCCCTATGTCATCCCAGAGAACGAAGAAATCCCCCAGACAGCCCTTAACAGTGTCCACCAGGCGAATGGCAATGAAGACGAGAGGGCTGTGTCCAAGCTGCAGCGCAGGCACAGTGACGTAAAAGTCTACAAGGAGTTTTGTGACTTTTACGCGAAATTGTAAGTGTCCCCTCTCCTGGAACTCCCCTCTTCCACATCTAGTCCTCTTGGGCACTAGCCGTTTACAGTTCTATTTGCTCGACTTTCAGCAGGGGCTTCCCAGGGTGACTGAGGGTCGGGGGCTGGGGAGCTGCTGCCGCCGGGCTGCGTCAGCAGGCAGGTGGGTGACCCCTCCTGTAGACTGCCGGGGGTGAAATGCAGATATGAAGGAAAATGCCACCTTTCAAGTAGGAGGAGGCATGTCCTTGTCTTCAGTAGGCTCCTGAGAGTAGCAGGCTTTCATTAGGTAGTACAAGAGGGAGGTTTCGAGTCCTCATTGTCAGGATGTATAATACGAAAATTTTATGCTCTAAAACTTCCCATAGATAAGGATCAGGTTGAAGGAAACAGTGAAAAACTGAATTACAGACTGTTGATAAAGATACACATTTTTGTTATGTTTAACAACCAACAATTTGAAGTAGGCTAAATGGGTTTCTTAATACAGTCTCTAAAGGACTGAATGAATAAATAAGTATGTTGTGTAACTAGCAAATATGTATTTGTAAATAAAACATGCCATTAACTCTAAAAAGTTAGTCTAATTCATATTATTAAATGGGTTTTAGCAGTTTAAAAAAAAATAGTGCAAAGTAGTATTTAGACCAACTCTTGTAAGATTATTGACCTCATTCAAAGTTGGAATCTTGAAATTATTATAAATCCCCAATTTGTCATGTAAGGGTTCAGGAGAGTTTAAGTGACCTGATTGTCTATTGCGGTTAATCCGTTCTGTCTAGTACTGCCACAGATCACATTTGTTTTCCTAACAAGAGTAACTGGGCCATTGTAATTATACTATAACTGAAATACTGAGTGAACTCTCAGGATGCTTTTTAGATTTACACATTTTTGCATTTTAATGCCAGAATATTTGTTGCACGTACTTTGGTAACTGAGGCGCTTGAGTCTGGCAGGCTCAGGTTTCTGTGTGTGGGTGATGTGGAAGTCGGTCAGCACGGTCAGTCACGGCAGCCAGGGGTGGAGTGTCCGCTAAAGGCGCTCACATATCTGTGTTCTCCCACATCTGTATTCTTGTCAGCAACACTTTGTCGTGAAAATTCTTTTCTGAAAAATTAGCAAATTAATTCTAACTAACTGACAGCTATAACTATCATTCGTACTTTTAGAAAGTACCTTCTATCAGATATAGTATTAAAGGCAGAAATCAACTGTACTCACACAGGTCGACATAGCCCATCAGCTGTGACAAAGGTTCCTCTTTGGTGGGGCGCTGTGAGGGGGCTGCGGGTTTGGGGGGGGGACGTGGGAAATCTCTGAACTTCCTGCTCAGTTTTGCTGTGAACCTAAGACTGCTCTAAAACATAGTCTATTAAAAAAAGTACGTAGTGTTGGAGGGTCAAAGACGAGAGGAAAGGGAAGTGTAAACAGCTCACTAGGTTGGTGAGGTTGTTGGTCTTTTTTTTTCTGAAAGTTTCCTCTAAAGTTCTGTTTCCTTTCTTTTCCTCCTTGTTATTAAAAGGAATACCTCTTCAAAAATACATATTATATTATCTCTAAAACTTAGTTTATTTTTCCCGTGTGTGGGAAAAAACTTATATGCTTGTTTTTATAATGTGTCTACCTATTTTCTAATTGTTTGACTATTTGAATATAAACAGTCTGTAGTATAATGAGTATAAACAAGTCAGTGATAAATGTGCTGATCTTGTGACCCCTTTACACTCTTAAAAATTACTGAGGTCCCCAGAGAGCTTTTGTTTATCAATATTAACTGTAGTAGAAAATAAAGCTGAGAAAATTTTTTAATATTTATTAATTTAAAAAACAAACTCATACACATTAATAATATTAATAAACATAAATGACAAAAGGTTGGTGGGAAAAGTGGCAGTGTATTACATTTTTGCAAATCTTATTAATATCTGTCTTAATAAAGGGCAGTTTCTCATATCTGTGTCTGCATTCATCCTATTGTAATATATTATTTTAGATAAAATAAAGAAAGAAAATATGGCCTCCCACAGAGATGTAATTGAAAAGAGAGGGCCTTCCAAACCCATGAAAGGGTCATGGGGGTCCCTACACTTTGAGAACCACAGATCTAGGTAATCATGAATCAAGACATTCCAGAATGTTCTTCTTTTTCAGCTTTTTTAGAGTTCTATTAAAATCATTGAGGATTTGGTGAATCTTTTGAGAGGATTAAAATTAATAATAGTGCTTTATATTTTAGTAGCATCTGCTGGCTTCCAAAGTGGTTTTATATATTTTTTCTTATTTTATCCTCAAACAGTACTAAGAACTGCTGGGGCAGGTGTGGGCTTACCATTCTTCATCAAGGGACACCTGTGGCTTTTGGTCAAGAGAAAGGGGGAAGCACAAACCTTTCCAGGAGTTTTGCTGAAACGGCCACAGTTCGTCAGGCTTATAGCAAAGCCCGCTGAAGAAGGGGCTTTATGGACTTTTCTGCCTGACTCACAGTGACTTTGAGATGACAAAGTAGAAAATTTGTTTTCATATGAGACTTAGGCTAGGTTTGCCAAACAATGAGGCGGTCTCCCTTCCTCCCTTCCTTCCTTTTTTTTTTTTTTTTTTTTTGGTGACGTTTTAATTCTCTATTTAAGCCCATGAAGTCAAGTTGAGTTTTGATGGGTACTGGGTTATGAACACGGTACTTCTGCATGGGGTAGTTATGGCAAGGCTACAAAATAGGAAGACTGTTCTTTGGAATCTTTTGGCGGAAGGAGGCACAGTTGTCGTCCGTTGGGGTGGGATGGTTTTTTCAAACCCTTTTGCTAAGGAAAGAGCAAAACTCAGAAACTGCTATGGGACAAGGCAGTTAATGTGTCTGTAAATGGAGACCCCCATCCTGCCTGCCTCACGGGGCAATTGAGGAGATTCAGGGGAACGTGGGCAGTAACTTCACAAGTAGATCGTTTCAATATCCGGGTGGTCAGAAGTGGCACAGGGGACCAGATACACAGGGAGAGCTTGTTCTGAGTGGGCGTCTGAAATAAACTTGCCACATTATGAAGGACAGCTGACTACTGACTGCTCTGCTTAGGGGACCTTCTCCGCTCCAAGGCCTTTCAGAAACAGAACAGTTCTTGACGTGAAATCCAGGGGGCTCGTTAGAGAATAAATAATCATCTGTTATATGCTTGATGATAACGCTTTTCTTCTTCTAAACTACACGGTGGGTAGGTGCAACTTGGGACCATTGATTGAATGCCTCCTGTGTTTTTCCAGGTGTAGGAAAATGACTGGCGAGGGAGTCACCAAGTCACTGGGCTTGTCTGGTTCCTTGACTGCCTGAGTTTCATTTTCCTCACCTGTGAAGTGTGGTGGTGCCCCTGTCACCTCCTCTCACGTGTTTGAAATTGGTATTGCAATTCGGTTGTAATCTTGTGAGCAGGGGACCTGGAGTCTGGTCCACCTCTCTGAACCTCCGTTTCATTCTCTGTAAAATGACCTTCATAATGTAAAATTCGGTGATTTTAAGATACTTAGAGATAATAGGTAGATAAATAAGATATAGATAATAAGATATTTATAATATTAGTGTCCAAATTTTTTTTTTTTTTTTACTAATTAGATTGTAGGACTAAGGCATCTTGGCTAGTTTTAAGAGTTACTTAAGCAGATGCTTTCAACAGGTTATAGCCAAAGGGATGATCAGTGACTAGGCTATGCCATGGCATTCAGTGGATGTACAGTTTAGATTCTGTTCTCAGAAGGGAGAAAAATTGGCTTTGAGATGTTGACTTGGGGATGTTTTATTTAAGCTACTTACGAGCTCCTTGAGGCTGACTGTTGACTCTCATCTCTATCCCTAGTTCCCATAGAGAGTGGGCACTGGCCATAGTATGTTTAGCAGGAGGACTGTCAGGATTGTTAAAGAAAAGCAGATTCCGAGCAGGAGGCCCTTTCAGAACCTGAGATACTAGGACAAAGAGATGGGAACAGTTTGAGTTGAGTACTTAAGACCCAAGCAAGAAATTGGGCTTTATGATAGATAAAATACGATTTTTGTGAACAGGTAGAATTTGCTGCTCAGTTCTTTGTGTCATTTGGTCTTATATCTAAGAAAAGCTTGACAGTCTGTGACGGCCTGTCTTTTGTGTGTTTCAGCAACATGGCCAATGCCCTTGCCAACGCCACTTGTGAGCGCTGCAAGGGGGGTTTTGCGCCCGCCGAGAAGATCGTGAACAGTAATGGCGAGCTGTACCATGAGCAGTGCTTCGTGTGTGCTCAGTGCTTCCAGCAGTTCCCAGAGGGCCTGTTCTATGAGGTGAGTCAACCTGGACAGAGCAGAGAGGTACCATTCCCCTCTGCTCCCTCTCCTTCCCTTCCTTGTTTGAGGCATCCTTCTTCATTTTAGATTTCAGTATCAAAGGTTACCTTGAAGGGGCAGGAACACTGCCAGGTGTTTGGTACTTGTCAGGTCTGTGATGGCTCAGGTATGGAATGCCCTGACAGTCCCCACCATTTATACTGTTTATTTCATCTTCCTCTTTCAGAACCGCCCCCCCGGTACCTCGTGACTTGACCCATCAGAGCTGAGCAGTTCAGCTCAGCAGACAAAACCTTTTCATACGCTTCAGCCACAGTTTTTCTGGCTTCTCCACCCAGGTCCCCACTTGCCTTCTCCCCTACACATACCTCCTGATTCCTGCCTCTGTGTCCTGCCTCCTCAGAGGACCACTAAACATCCTCTTTAAAGGAAGATATCTGTTACCTGCTCCACAACTTTGAGGCGATGAGTGGTAACTTCCATGGATTCATGTTCTAAGGAGGATCTTGTTTGGGAACGAGTATTTGGGGGGATACCTTGCTTGTATTTAGCTCTCCTGTATGTCTTATATTCTTTTCCAAATACTTGGTTTTCTTGATCCTCCAATATTACCACGTGGTCTTCACTTCCTTTGTTTTTATTCTTACCATAACTGAAACCTCCTTTTCACAAAATAGTCTACTTTTGGGACTGGTCTAGCGAAGCTGACTGCATGCTGTTAATGAAAATAAGAGTGATGTGAGTGTGTGTGTGCACATGTGCGTGTGAGATCAATTAGATCATTTACTTTTACCAAGTTGGTCCTTACATATTTGTGTATCTATATGTTATTCATATGTGTGTCTCTATCTGGTAATATATGTACATAGAATTATGTTACAGCCAAAGGTGGCTGCTCTTTGATTTCTTCTGCCTTGATTTTTTAATTTCTCTGTTTTAAAAGCCATTCCTGAGGAAGGAAAGGTGGTTTTTAAAGATCATTAGTAAGTCAATTGTTTGCCTCTCAGACAGCATTTTCCCGTAGAAACAATGCCTCCTGAGAGTGAGGCTCCCAGGCTAGCCTGCAGGAAAGCTATTTATGCCGTCATGGCACCTGAAATACAGAACTACTATGTGGATAGTAAAGTAACTCTGGGAAACAGCTGTAAGAGCTTTCATTAGGAAACACCATTTTATTCACTAGAACACACTTTTTGAGCTCCTACCGTGTCTCAGAAACATACATTCCCTACAACAAAAACCCTGGCAATAGGAATAGGAGTTCTTTTTCTCTTTTCTTTCACTTCTTCCTATCTCCTTCCCTGGGTATTGGGAATCTCTTTCCCGTCAAGGGTGATGGCTTTGGGATGGGAATGGCAAGTGACAGCTGAGGTGAGACAGGAGCAGGAGAGAAGCAGTCCAACCGCAGGAGGGGAGAGGGGCTGTAGTGGCTGTGAATCTAGACATCAAGGTCACAGATCTCTCCTGAGCTTGTGGGTGGGTCCACCATTGGTAAGGAGAGTGGCCACTAGATTCATGAAGAAGAAAAAGAAATCCCTAGGGGCTGAGGCAGCAGGAAGAGAAAGGGAGAGGGGGGAGTTACTCAATCGAGTAAAAGGATCGAAGGACCTGCTTCTTCAGAGTCTTGACACAGCCTCTCAGGTCTCTAAGTCAGCACAGTGGAGGGGTGCCAGGACTGCAAGGAAGGAGGGGAGACTCCAGAGCACCTTGAAGGGAATCGCAGACTCTGCCTCCAGAGGGAACATCAGTCCTCACACTCTGTAAACCCCTTCTTATCTTACCTCTACGTTTTCTTTTCACTTGAGGCCCAGAGAGGTTGAAATGTCCTGATATCACAGCAGATTGGTGATATGAATGGGATGAGAACCTCATTTGATCTCCTAATGTCCAATGTGGTATTCTTTCCCTTACATATTCTTTTCAAATCTAAGACATGTTTATTGAAATGAGTAGTTATGGCAAAGGCCTTAGGAGAGATTCCAGAGGAACAATAGAGAAGACCTCAAAAGAGAAAGGCAGGCTGTGTTTTCCCAAACATTTTTGTTATTTCCCTGGCCTGCTGTTCCCTTTCTATCACTTTCTTTTTCCTACCTTGTCCATCCGCCTGCCGCTTTGGAGTCGTTGCCCTCACCTCCTAAGCTCCTAGTTCATGTGTGGGTACCGTCGCTGCCCTGCCACTTGTGCTTAGTCAGAGGGCAGGCTCCGGCAGCGCCTGAGTGGACGGAATAAAGCATGACTCACACTTGTTCTCCTGCCACCTCTCACTCATCTTTCCTTCTGGACTATAAATACCCTCCCTGGGTCGTCTGATATTATTCTAGAAGATGTTAGGATTATCCAGAACTAGTCTAGGACAGGCATACCTCGTTTCATTGTGCTTCGCAAATACTGCATTTTTTACAGATTGAAGGTTTGTGGCAACCCTGCATCGAGCAAGTCTGTAGGTGCCATTTTTCCACCAGCATTTGCGTACTTCATGTCTCTGTGTCACGTTCTGGTAGTTCCGGCCGTATTTCAAACTTTTCCATTATTATTGTATTTGTTATGGTGATCTGTGATCAGTGATCTTTGCTGTTACTGTTGTAGTTGTTCTGGAGCACCATGAACCACGCCTGTATAAGACGGCAAACTTAATCAATAAACGTTGTGTGTGTTCTGACTGCTCCACCAACCAGCCATTCCCTCGTCTCTCTCCCTCTCTTTGAGCCTGCCTACTCCCTGAGACACAGCAATATTGAAATTAGGCCAATTAATTACCTGACAATGGCCTCTGAAGTGTTCAAATGAAAGGAAGAGTCGCACATCTCTTACTTTAAATCAAAAGCTAGAAATGATTAAGCTTAGGAAGAAAGGCATGTCGAGAACCGAGACAGGCCAAAAGCTAGGCCTCTTGTGTCAAACAGCCAGGTTATGAATGCAAAGGAAAGTTCTTGAAGGAAATTAAAAGTGCTACTCCAGTGAACACATGAATGGTAAGAAAGTGAAACAGCCTCATTGCTGATACGGAGGAAGTCTTATTGGTCCGGATAGAAGATCAAACCACCACAACGTTCCCCTAAGTCACAGCCTAATCCAGAGCAAGGCCCTAACTCTCTTCAATTCTATGAAGGCTGAGAGAGGGGAGGAAGCTGCAGAAGGAAAGTCTGAAGCTAGCAGAGGTTGGTTCATGAGGTGTAAGGAAAGAAGCCACTTCCATAACAAACATGCAAGGCGAAGCAGCAAGCGCTGATGGAGAAGCTGCAGCAGGTTATCCAGAAAATCTGGCTGAGAGACTCAATGAAGGTGGCTCCACTAAACAGCAGATTTTCAATGCAGATGGAACAGTCTTTATTGGAGGAAGATGTCGTCTGGGACTTTCGTAGCTAGAGAGGAGAAGTCAATGCGTGGCTTCACAGTTTCAGAGAACAGGCTGTCTCTCTTATTAGGGGCTCATGCAGCTGGCGACTTTAAGGTGGAGCCAATGCTCATTTACCATTCCAGAAATCCTCAGACCCTTAAGAATTATGCTAAATCTATTCTATGTGTGCTCTATAAACGGAACAACAAAGCCTGGATGACAGCACGTCTGTTTCCAACATTGTTTACTGAATAATTTAAGCCCGCTGTTGAGACCTACTGCTCAGAAAAAGGGATTCCTTTCAAAGTATAACTGCTCATTGACAATGCACTTGGTCACCCAAGAGGTCTGATGGAGATGTACAATGAGGTTAATGTTGTTTTCATGCCTGCTAACTCAACATCCATTCTGTAGCCCATGGATCAAGGAATCATTTCAACTTTCAAGTCTTATTATTTAGAAATACTCTTCAGGGGCTGGCTTAGTGGTGTCGTGGTTAAGTTTGCACTCTCTGCTCAGTGGCCCAGCTTTCACGGGTTCAGATCCTAGGCACGGACCATTCATCAAGCCATGCTGCGGCAGTGACCCACATACAAAATAGAAGATTGGCACAGACATTAGCTCAAGGCTAATCTTTCTCAAGCAAAAAAGAGGAAGATTGGCAACAGATGTTAGCTCAGGGCCAATCTTCCTCACCAAAAAAAAAAAAAAGAAAAAAACTTTTCATAAGCCTGTAGCTGCCATTGGTAGTGATTCCTCTGATGGACCTGGGCAAAGTCAGTTGAACACCTTCTTGAAAGGATTCACCATTCTAGATGCCATTAAGAACATTTGTGATTCACGGGAAGAGGTCAAAATATCAACATTAACAGAAGTTTGGAAGAAGATGATTCCAGCCTTCATGGATGACTTTGAGGTTTCAAGACTTCAGTAGAGGAAGTAACTGCAGATGTAGTGGAAACAGCAAGAAAATTAGAACTAGAAGTGGAGCCTGAAGATGTGACTGGATTGCTGCCATCTCATGAGAAAACCTTAACAGAAGAGGAGTTACTTCTTAAGGGTGAGCAAAGAAAGTGGGTTCCTGAGATGGAATTGACTCCTGGTGAAGATGGTGTGAAGATTGTTGAAATAACTACAAAGGATTTAGAATTTACATGAACTCAGTTGATAAAGCAGCAGCAGGGTTTGAGAGGATTGACTCCAATTTTGAAAGAAATTCTACCGTGGGTAAAATGCTGTCAAACAGCATCGCATGCTACAGAGAAATCGTTCATGAAGCAGAGTCAATCAGTGTGGCAAACCTCACTGTTGTCTTATGTTAAGAACTTGCCGCAGCCACCCCCACCTTCAGCAACCACCACCCTGATCAGTCAGCACCATCAACATCGAGGCAGGAGGCTCCACCAGCAAAAAGGTTATGACTCGCTGAAGGCTCAGATGGTGGTCAACATTTTTTAGCAATAAAGTATATTTTAATTAAGGTATACATTTCTTTTTAGACATAATGCTGTTGCGCAGTTAATAGACTACAGTATAGTGTAAACATAACTTTTATATGCACTGGGAAACCAAGAAATGTTTGTGACGTGCTTTATTGTGTTATGCGCTTTACTGTGGTGCTCTGGAACAGAACCTGCAGTGTCTCCGGGGTCTGCCTGTAATGGGCTGTTGCCCAGTTAAGCTCCCTTGGGTCCTGAGGAAGAGTGCTATTTTTAGCTACATTTACAATTAAAACCCTTTTTTCAGGCCAGGGATTTGTAAACCTGCATGTGGAGAATACAGCTTTTCCTTTGGTTGAATGATATAGAGACAAAGCTATCCAAGACTTCCAAGAAATAATCTGCATTTTCAGTTATGTCCAGCAATCAATTGTTTTCCAGAAAAGGAAGCTCAAAAACTTACCTCGTTTGCTTTCCATTTGAAACATGACTTACGTGCTTCAGTCTTGGTAACAATAGCAAATGCGTCTTTTCCACTCTATATCTTTGATATTGATTTTGTCTTGTCATTAAAACATCATCCTTCCCTCATTTCCACAGTCCCTACTCTCTTCTCTAGAAAACTAGCTGTGAAGACTTACAGGGGGGTTCTCTGCACTCACTCGCCCCTGAAAATGGGATCCACTTTACTGTGGAATTTCCTGATGTTCTGGATCAGAGAGCCAGGACAGATTCCCTTGAGCCACGAAGACAGGTTAGAGTTGGATGTTGTTTCCTGCCCACTCACTGGGATGGGTGTCTGAGCTGAGCTGACTGAGCGCAGGTCTTTCTGGCTCATCTGCACCTCCTTAAGAGTGATTTAGCAGCAAGCAGGATTATTAACCACATTGGCTCCTTACTCAAGGTGAATTTGAATCCCACTAGATTATGTGGTTTAAAAAGTGAACTTAAGGGTTGCCATTAAGCTTGTAATCCATCACCACTGAAGAATGTAGGGTAGAACTTAAAGATTCTTATGCTTTGCAGCTTCTGTCGTCAGTAAGGACTACTTTACGCAAGGTGTTTCTTAACACAAGACATCATTAGTGGTGCTTTCAGCCTATCCCATCTGTTTCATTTCACTTATCCTCTCTGATTCCACACAGCACTTTGTTTATACCTTTAGTATGGAGAGCATTTACACATTTTAGTATAGCTATTTATTTATATGTTTATCTTCTTCCCGTCAAACTTTGAATACCTTAGGTACAAGGACTGTCCTAATTAATTCATTACCTCTATGACTTGTTTTACAGCATTTGATGACTATTAGATGCTTAATAAATACAGTGGTATGTATACAGTACTTGCATAGTATACATTGCTAATATACCAACTAGGAACTAGGTCAGGCATTTTCTAAAGTAAACATTTGCAGGCTATACTTCAAAATCTTGGTACTCTTTACCCAATTCCTATTGTTCATCTCATGAACATTGTCCAAGCTTTATCATGCCTGCATGCAGAGCGGCGAATGAAAGAAATGCATTCTTAAGTGGAAACAGGAGATTTCAGTTGTGGATACAACCATGAGTAGAACTCCTGAGCCATGATGTGTTTTCAGTACCATATGTGGTCCACTGACTTGATATGTTGGTTCAGGCCAATGTAGTGGTGTTGAATAAACTTACTTTCTTTTTTTTTTTTTTTTTTGCTTTTTCTCCCCAAATCTCCCCAGTACATAATTGTATATTTTCATTGTGGGTCCTTCTAGTTGTGGCATGTGGGACACCGCCCCAGCATCGCCTGATGAGCAGTGCCATGTCTGTGCTCAGGATCCGAACGGCAAAACCCTGGACCGCTGAAGCAGAGCGCGCAAACTTAACCACTCGGCCACCAGGCCGACCCCTGAAGTTACTTTTTATTTAAAACCTACAGTAAAGTTGAAAGAATAATATAATGAATATTGTGTACCCTATGCATCTCACACACACACCACACCCATTTTTTGCCAAATAATTTGAAAGTAAGTTGTAGACATATGACACTGAATGAAGTTACTTCTAATTTTTGTGTTTTAGAGGAAAAGGGGCAATGGAGGAGTTATAGTTAAGAGGTGATTTTGGGGATACTGGCATTACCAAAATGTTCTGTGATTGAGTGACATGTTATATCAAGTTGGGATCTTAATATACTCACTTTGGGTATTGGAGTATCATTTCTTGAATTAAAAGCTCTCCTCCCTCCAGTTTGTTTAAATGATTCAAATAACTGTAAATTCTATTTCCAAGAGCATACATTAAAAAGAAAAGAAAAGGAGCATAATTCTCTTCCCCTTGAGTATGGGCTGGACTTAATGACTCACTTCTAACAGGGATGTAGCAGGGGTAAAGTACTAACTTTGCAGTGGAGAAACCTGGCAGATATTAACCAAGTAATCAAGGTTAACATCAGTAAGAAGTCATGTACTCCCAAGATGCTGCAACAAATAGAGCACATTATTACCTCTGTGGTAGTCTTCCCCCAAATCTATGACCTTAGTCTACTCATGAGACAAACCCATAATGAGGAGCACTCTGCAAAACACCTGACCAGCACCCTTCAAAAGTACCAAGGTCATGCAAGACGGGGCAAGACTGAGTCTCCTCCACAGACTGGAGGAGACTAAGGAGCTCCAGGGGTCTGACTTCCCTGAGATTGGGGGAGTGACGTTTGTTCATTCATTTATTGACCTATCCATCCATTCAACAAATATTGATAATATTAGCTAGGCAGTTACAATGTGCCAGGCACCATGTTATGTTCTAGGGTAGGATGATGAACCAAATAGATGCAGTCTTCAGGGAACTTGTGCTACAGTGGATTAGACTAGACTGATCAAGATCAAGTCATTGAAAGTTAGATACAAAAACTTCACAGTCTTACGAAGTGCTTGGTAATATGGAAAAGTTAAATCTACCTGAGGACGGAATTTTCCCCCCAGAATCCACTGAAAATTGTAATAGATGGTGTTTAAAGTGCTTTATAGCACAGTGCCTGGCATGTGAGAAAAGCTTAATAAATGGCTAATACTGGTTTTTAGAAAATTTTCAGGAGGTGGTTTTGCACACTGTTAGTACGTATATCTACAGCACCTCCCAGCGTAGGGCCTTCCCTTTTGAGGGTGCTCTGAGTATTTGCTGACTGAGAGAAGCCATCAATGAAACTATGCAGCCTAAGATGTCTTAGGAAGTGTGTATCCATAATTAGGACTTTGCCGGACCTCGACATTTTCCTCAGATTTGCACAGTGGGGATAGAGGGTGGATTCATTTTATTGGTACGTGGTCAAAAAGGCACCCAGTAGTACCAGGCTATAATGTCATTGTTCCATGTCCAATAAAATCAGCTCTTCATCCCTGTTCAAGTGAGCAATTCTGAAGTAAAGGTCACATGTTGTGTTGGCAGAGAAGCCAGGGTTATTGTTCAACCATGATTTTTGAGTTCTGATAGAAACCCGCAAGATAATGTAAGAATTCTAGGTTGTATTCTCTATTGCTATGCCTGAGAGGTTGTGGATACAGAGGAAGAAGTACAGATTTGGGATCTGACAGCCATGGGTTTGAATCCCAGTTCCACTGGTTTTGGTGCAAGTTATATAATCTTTCTGAATGTGAGTTTTCTCTAACAAGGCGAGAATCACACATGTCTCATAGTGTTATGAGTTTGAATCAAGGTAGCATGTACATTACCCAGTAAGTTAGCCCACTCTTTTCCTCCACTTCCCAGTGGGTACAACTTCAGAAAAGTAGTGCTTACGCACTCTAAACCAGGGCTCCTCCTCCTCAGCACTACTGACGTTTTGAGCTGGATCTTTGTTGTGGGGGCTGTCCTGTGCATTGTAGGATGTTTAGTAACATCTCTAGTCTCTACCCACTAGATCCCCAGTTGTGACAACCAAAAATATCTCCATACATTGCCAGATATCCCCTGAGGAGCAAAATCACCCTGGTTGAGAACCACAGCCCTAAACAATGAGGGCATCTTTTCACAAATAGGCAGTGAACTTCACTGTGGTAATAGAAGCTGATCTAAATGGGCATGTGCCCTGGGTTACTGAGGTCTTAGACTACATGAAACAAAAGTCGTTACAGTCCTGTCTCAGAATTTGACTGTAGTCAGAGTTAATT